AGACGTTTCCAGAGGACATAGGTGGTGGCGAAGAAGGCGCTAAAGAGGCCCAGGAACATCCAAACCGAGAAGCTTACTTCATTATTGGAGCTGTCGGCGTAGCACTCATAATGCTAATTGCCATTATCGGCCTACTTTTCATCTCTTGTTGCACCTGTTGCACAAAGAAGAGTAAAGGGACTAAAAAGAAGAATGGGAGGAAACACAAATCGAGTGAGAACAAAGATCGCCAGGGGAACAGTGAAGAAGGAGCAGGAGTTGTATTCCAACAGGAAGACGATACTGTGGGAGGATATGGACAGTCTCATTACGATTCGGAGTCTGAATCAGAAGTTGATCCAGATTTTAAGCTTAATGAATCGGACTATGATGAGGACGGAAACCCAAAGGCAAGTATATGATCTGTTTGAATTTTCAATTTAATTAAATTACCTTAATCTAATTGAAGTTAATTTGTGCATTTTCTCTTAAATGTACACATGACGTTTAAGGCATGCATTTAAAAGGCGAAAATTTCTACGCTCTCTTCGCGCTTTCCCCATCGACTTTAAAGTAATTGGGAGACTAATTAAGCACACATGCTGACAGTGTTGTTTTCTCAAATAAAAGTAGTAACTCTAATTATGGAGGATCCGGCCGCCGTTAATGTAAATTAATTTAAATTACCCCCAACTTGCTCTATTTTACCGGATAAGTGAAAAATTGAATTGACACATGTTGCTATCCGATCGAGCTTCATATTTTGCTTTGCATGTTCAAGTGGCTTTATAGCTTTAATGAAGACACTTTAAGTGGGTTACTAAATCTAACTGAGAGATGCCATTACACAAATTTTCATCTTCCTAGTTAAGAAGATTAATTAATGCGAGAGGAGAGATAGAAGTAGAGAGAGAGAAGTGGAAAGACGTCAGACGTGTGCGAAGGGAACTCGGGTTTTGAGAAGCAGTCGAAATGTAGTACGATAAGGAGGCTGGATGAGTTCACATCCTTTAATCGTTCATCCACAACTGAAAATTGGCCCTGAGCACTCTGATGACGATAGCAATTGTACTTAATAGTTACCAAGAAATGATCTAATATCAGCTATCGTTTGATTTGTATATTGTGTGTTTGACTTTAATTTGAGTAGGATATGCTATAGATGGGACTTCGTAGAAGTTTGAGAATTCATGACTGAAACCAGATTGTATAATACAATTTTGTTTGTGTTTATTTGCAGGGTTTTAAGGAAAATCGTCGTGGACTTTTCCTCTTTTACAATTCTTATGAATTCGGCAGCAAAGTTGAGGAGAACCAAGCTGCAATACTGGATGGGATTGAAGTGCTGATGGAGAAGAATAGTTTTACGCGGAAGCATCAAGGACGCATATGCTGCGGCTGCCATCTCCTCTCGTTAATATTGGCTGTGATCTACATTGTTGCCCTCCTGATTTGTATTGTAGTCCTCATAATGGCGGCTCAACAACTCGCGGAAGTTATGGAGCGACCATCTGAGGACAAGTCTGCTATAAAGGCCGAGGTTGTTGCGTGGACAAGTGGAAACTCTACTCATTTTAATCTTCAAGGAACCGTGTCATTCATTCTTAGTGAAGTCGTCCACCTTCTAGACGACAGCGTAACTGGTCTATTGGCTAAGATGAATTCGACTGTGGTCGGCCTAGTTCCAACTCTGGAGGTAATTTGGCCTTCCCTAATGTAGTAATGTGTTAACCCTCTAGTAGATTAACTAATTAAATGGATCTCTAAATGGACTTAGATGAAATGTGTGATAGATAGCTGATAATCATTTAAAAAATTTTAAATTTTTTAACCAAGGATCCTTATTAGGTCCTTAAACTGACACCTTTGAATGGTTCGAATTTCAAGAACCTTAACAAATTTAGTGCATTTCTTATTACCAGGTATATCTTGCCATTATTTTCTGGTCATTAAATTCTCTGCGAGAGGATAATTATCAGTCAGTGGACTCTAGCCCGAGTTAGGGACACGTTTCGAAATGTCGGTTAATGGAAAAGAAGTTGACTTCTTATCACTTCAGTGAAGGACTAACATGCGCATATCGCCTGCGAACGCGTGGTGGTGGCGAAAGAGAGGAGCGCAAACAACAAAACGAATTGCCTAAATGTTCCAGTTGGAAGGGGGCTTCTAGCATCTCCTCTTCTTCCAAACAGAGACAGCTATCATGGTAGGACTCATGCTGAAATATGTTTCATATCGTTTCAGGCCTGGTGCGATGTGAGTAGTATAGAAATTTGTTTTCTGTTAGAAGCTAGTTTGGGTCGTTTTCGGACATATTTATGGCGTAGCAAACAACTCGCTTAAATTAATAAGATAAGTCATGAAATATTCCAGACGTTTCGTCTGGACCTAAACTGGAAGAAAACAAAGAGTGAATTTGAAATACCGACATTGGAATATGTCTTTTCCTTTTTAGCCAACTACTCGTAAAGGCGTCACCAAAATATTTGATTCTCTCAGACAACTTATTAAAATCAACGAGCTTTTTACGGATACGGAAAAAATGAAAGACGAACTGAGTGTTTTCAATGAAGATGTGAAGAATATTAGTGACAATTATAATGACACAATACCAGAACTCACCAGATTAAATACAGAGTTTAAAGATATTCATACACAAGTGAAACAGCAACAGCCTCAATTGGTGAGCGAATCATTCAGGTTTATTGATTACTGACTTGACGTGTGCTTTAATTCCTTTTAGCAAG